CGAGTTCAAAGGACTAATAATGATGTTCCATAACTGCTAGATGCATAAATAATCAACTGCTTCCTAACAAATTTGCCATGTCAACTGAAAAGATGAAGATATGACAACGTTGTGTTTACAGTTTCTTTCCAGAATCAGAATCAGCTTTATTGGTCAGGTGTGTTGGACATGAGGAATTTGACTCTGGTACAGCAGCTCTCAATGTGCACTGCTCCAAAGTTACTGCAGGCTTAAACAAAACTTTACATTTAGTCTAAAAACTAACATAAAGGAAGCTGGTCATGAATCATGGTCCCTGATGTTACAAATCCTGTGCTTTGTATGTCTACCATTCACCCAAACCACCTCCCCATGACGTCCATATAGTACAAGAATGTAACACTTCCAGGACTGACAAAACTTTGCTACATGTACATGAACTAAGAGATTTAAGACATTTTTATTACCAAGCAGAATGTAACTTAATACCTGTTTTATGGTCATTAAAGTACTAAAGTATGATGAAAAACAAGTAGGAATGATATGGCCTAGGGTAATTTATTATTTCATTCATTTTTGAATCCTTTAAATTCCCTCTAAGGCTTTTTCTGATTAAACTGAATTCAATGCTTTTAGAGATATCTCAAGTCCTGCAGTTATGGCAGCTTTGCTGCTTATTGTTTTTAGAAAACCACTGCTTAGTGAGTAAAGACACTCTTTGGAATCAGCAGCTGAAAGCTACTGCAAGGAAGAGAGAGAGAGAAATCCAAGTTAGGGGGGCACTGAATAAAGTAAAAAGCTTTTATTCAAGCATAGCTTTCATCCAAGTGTTTCAGCGGGAGCCTTGTTCAAGGTATGATTCTCAGACAATCACTGATGAAAAGAAACTGCACAGGGGGTTTTGTGCCTGTAGCCACAGTACTTAAAATCTTCATTAATTCGTAAAAGCATCCAGCCAGCTCCTCTTGTGTTATAGTGTGGCTTGGTGAATGACCCTCACAATGGCTTCGACTGGGATTTTCATTATTTTCTTTAAGGAATAAGCCTGGGCATTCAGAAACTTGTCCCTGTTAGGACAGCTGTATCTATTTGCACCGGTGTAGCTGGGAGGTTACCAGGAGCCGGTGTGACCGTCACAAAAACTGCAGCTATATAATGTTGTACTTAAGTTTTGGAAAAATTGGATCTTGTAGAGGTAATCCATCCCAATCCTTACACACACACACACACACACACAGTATGTTGTCCTCATGCTTTAAGGAAGATGGGCGATCAATGGTGCTTACAACACAAGCTGAACTCAGATGGCCTTACGGAGCCGTATGGCAGCCTTATGACAGTTCATTAGTGCTGCACTTCAGACTGACATTTTGAATGCACAGCCCCAGGCACGAGCTTAAAATAGAGCACCTGTGGCGTGGTGATTGCGGAAGAATGGATTAACTCTAGAAAATAGCCCGGTGAATCTCTCTCTCAATAAAGATCATAGAAATGGATGGAGCCTTTTATTACTTCCTCAATAAGCTCACAGACCAGTGATGGCTGCGCACTAGAAAAAGTTAAAATGCTTCTTGTGTAAACATGTCATTACTCTTGTTAAAGGATTATCAATAGCATTGCTGTTGATTTTTTCAAATGCATTTTCTGATTTCATGGCTCTTTAAAAAATATGTTTCAAAAAAGATGCCAGATTGATCGATGTTCCTCTACACACACTTTGTATTCCCCTTTGATAAACAAGACAAAAGTTTGAAATAAAAAGGTGAAATACTGTAGATATGGATTGGGTTAAGTAACAAAGACACTATTCCTTTTGGAAGAGGGGGAAAAATAATATTTATTTATTACTGAATGTGTAAAAACACTATCTACAGCTATTCTGTTTAAACCATGGGTCACCTAAATGTGTTTTATTCAAATTATAATTAAATAATTGTTATCCAAGTGTTTCAGCTTACTGAACCGAATGTTTTTATTTGTTTAGCACTTCTTGCTAGGAGTCTGGAAAAGAGTGAAAGCCTCTGTGACCTATTCTGAGCAAAGCCTGCAAACACCAAACTGTCAACCTGCATGATAAAACAGTTTACCATGTAAAACAGCGATGAGGTTATGGCAGAGGTTGAAAGATAAGCATGCTTCATCTTCAAAATGATGCTCAAATGGTTTAATTCAGACTTTACACAAACACACAAATTTCTTTTGAAATGGGCACTAAAATAAAACAGCTGCAGTCTGCCTATAACAAATGACACTAACAGATGCATACATATCCCATTTCACTCATTGATCTGTGCAGAAGGACTCCCTGTAGACTCATTTTTTGCCCGAGGACTCATAAATAATGACCAATATTGTAAAGTCAATACTGATTCATAAGGAAAGATGAAAGCATGCAATGGCAGAGATGGAAATTTAGACTCTGCATTCAGGTCTGTTGCTCAAGACCCCGGGTAACATATGTAAGCAAATTATACTGCAGAGTGGTAAAACTGGTAGCAAAGCAATGTTTTGCACAGAAGATATGTAGAGGTGTGGACATGCTGTCAAAGCAGTTTTGACGGTCAGTCCCCTGTGGATTCTGACCGTGCACTAGTTTAGTACAGTGACAAAAAGCACATCATTTTGCATCATGGTGTGAAGTGCAGATGGGAATGCACATTACACACAATGAACCTCTGTTCAAACATTTAACAGTCTCACAATAAAATGGCAATAGTACATCTGTCACTGATATATCACCAGAGCAGTGCTGTACTGTGTCAAAGACAAAGAGAGAATAGTTCAGGCCACAATTTAAACACCAGGAAAACAAAAGATCTTGCAACACTTGTAGTGTTTGGCCAACTTTAATAGCAAGACCAACACGTTTCAGTATGAAACGTTCAAAGACAAAGAGGGAATGGTTTCGGGCCACAGGTAGATACCAGAAAACATTTTTCGAAAGCATTGTGCTCCATGACTAATGTGCAAAGTGATCAAGGGGCTGGCAATCACTTAAATATAATGTCATGTGTTATGATAGAGAACAATGCTGGACAATGACTTCCATAAAGACCATGAAGCAGCTGTGAGAGAATTGTTCTGTTTTCCTTTCTATTTCTTAATTTTCCTACCATTGAAATGTAAAAGCTGCTATGACAAAATATGCCATTAAAAAAAAAAAAAACTTTTCTGCAAATAAATAAACTTTTGTATTATATTTAAACTCCAGTTTCATTTATGCCTAAGGAAAAAAATTCTTAGTACAAGAGAACTGGTGAATACCACAGATAATCTTAAAGCTCTTGAACCTGAACAATTGTTTTCCCTCTGCCTGCTTCTTGCTTGAGGATCATTGACTTTCAAACTGCAAAATGTGTCAATCAGTAACACATGCTGTTCATTAACAACCACATCTTTTCAAAAATTGTGAACTTGTGAAGTTTTTAATAAATCATAAAGCAGAGAAAGAAGCTGCAGTGACAGTAAACACATAAGGTGAGTGAGCTTGTAAGTGTGGCTATATTACAGTGTCTGTGTGCTTTAACCATCAATAGAGATCGATCTAAAAGAGGAAAGCATATATGATACAGTACTATGATTCAAAACAAGATCTCAGGTGGAATTGTACGATGGAACTAAAGGAATTTTACTGTATATCTGTGCCAAGTGTTATATAATTTTATTTGCTAGTGATTCTGCGGTAAGTGTAATGATTTATTTAGCTTTACTCCCTTTTTATGACATATAATACGCTGCAGGACATATTTTTCTCATATTTGGTCACACACTCCAATAGTAAAAACATGTTTTGAATAAGCTTCTGTCTCCTGAAACATACAAGCCTTGGCCTTAGATACGCCTACCAAACACAAAATGCCTCGAGACATCGTTGGTTTTCAGAGCTTGTGCTTGTCTAGATACATCGGACTAACAGCTGACTGAAGGCAAGTGACAACTGAAAAGGTTGCGTTGTGTAAAATCAAGGTTTTCTTTCCTGAAATGTTCACAGTGCAGTGTGTCTACCTGCTGCACATCCATAAGGCAAAACCTATTTTTCCTCTACACTGCAATGCACTGTAACTGATGGTTTCACTTTTTAAATGTTATACTCTTAATCTTTCAGTTAATGGAGTAGAAAATTAATCCTGAAAGCAAGACTACCCTACTTTATTACTATCAGCCTGGCCTGTTATTTTTCTTTTCAGTTTCACTTGTGAGAACTGGATATAAAATTTGTACTTTTCATGCAATTATAATGACTAAAGAGCCCATAGTTCTTGCTTTAGTGAAGAAAAGCAATGATTACAGCTTCAGTGAAGTCCTATTCCTGATACGGTCCAGTACTTAGTAACCAAAATAACCCATAATTTTCTACATATAAATATTTGTCCCAGTGGTTAAACACAACAAAAAGCTTACAAAGAGTTATTTTGGTTCCTTTGAAATGTGAAACATTATATTCTTTACAAGGCAGCACAAAGAGGAAGTTGCTCTAATTTTAGTGCTGCAGAACATTACCTTGTTGGGTCACTTTTATCTCCATCAAGAATGTTAAATATGTTTTCAGCAGGTTGTTTATCAGGGGGGAACATTTAATTAGATTTGGTGGTGGTCTGGGATTCTCCCATTAGACAAGAAATATTTGTAGCAACAGTAATAACATGAACAGAGAAAGGGGCTTAAATCTAAATCCTAAATGTATACAGCAACAGGAAAATTGTTCCAGACTGGCAGATGCCCTCTAGTTGTATCAAAAAAGTTGAGAAATTAGACAGTTCCAAATGCCTTGCCTTTTTTAAAGGACAATAACTGTCAAAATCTCAGTCACCTGAAGCTATTATTTTTCTATTCAATGTTAAATAATCAGCCGTGATATAATAATTACCTGCAGCCTGAGGCTTCTCGGTGGCAAAACATTGTAGTTTATTTCCGGTTCTCTGACTTCAGCATTCAGAGATTATCATGTCCACAGTTAATAACTAGGCAGCCTTAGGTCATAGCTGAATTCTGAATGGAGCACTATTATCCAGCAGGCTTACCTTCCTTTTAGCCTGGAGCTGTCTGTGATGGCTATCACATGAGTCTCCGGGGATCTCGCCCCCACCCCACAGAGTCACCCCCACAATGGTGTAAGTGATTCCCATCACCACTAAGGGCAGCACATAGACCAGAACTGTCACAATGATATGATACCTGGGAATAAAGAGGAGAAAAGGATGTATCATGTATACACTCATAGATCTTATCTTCTACTATCAACACAAACTGAGCCTCATGTTCTCTTGTTAGCAGTTGCAACAGATGAATGGCTTGGAATTTCAACACTAAAGTCAACACTAACTGGCACACTGTAAACATTTTGTTTCGCTCTAAACTCACCGTCAGTGCTGCTTGCATTATAACTTAAGTAAATCAACTGTAATCAAAACATTTTCATAGAGTGTGATTGGGGCCTATTGGGCACAGGCCCAGGGACCCAAAGGAACAGGGGGCCCCTGAACCACATTTCTTGTTGGAAAGTCATTCAGCAATGAACAGAAGCAAAATGAGTAAATATCAATAAACACAGGCAAAATTAGTAAATGTAGATGCAAAGCTAACACATAAAAATGCAAAATGAGTACAAGGGCATGCAAAACAACCTAATAGTCAAAAACAAGTCAAATATAGACCCAAAAAAAGAATGTTGAGACTAAAAAGAGATGAAAATAACTAAAAAAAAAAAAAAAAGACAACAAAAACATTCATTAAACAAGTGGCCACAACCAAGTGAAGATGCAAAATGGTTACAACAAGATGCAAAATGATCACACAGACACAAAACAAAAGGTGCACGACAACAACAGACAGCTGGTGCCTTCATCTCTTACAAGTAACAGTACAGCACAATCCTGAGTGTGTGAGTGTGTTTGTCACTATCAACATCCTGCAAATGAAAAAGGTTATAGTCTGTCACAATCAGTGGTGCAATCCCAATGTAAATATAAAAATAGAAAACCCTCTGGATCTTCTAAGATTAGGTTCCAGTTAACTAGGAATGACTCAGTGATTTCACCGGTGTGTGAAATTGTAAGTTACTATATATTGTAAACTATATGAAATAGATTGTAATTAACTTGTATAGAGCAACCAATTAAAGAAGCTACATCTGAACTCAAACAAAGCTGCTGCTCCCCTTTAATGAAGAGGATGACGAGAATAGCATTAAGCTACACTGCCTGGTATGAAAGCAAAGTTCAGTCATTGTAAAAACAAATTTCTACATAATTCTCACATGAAGGGGTCGTCAGCCATGCGGGGCCAAGCCACATAGCACAGGGTCCTGCGAGGCAGAATTTTAATGGTAGAGAAGTAGCAGAGAGGGAAGGCCAGAACCACAGCCAGGCTCCAGATACAGACGATAACTGCCGTGGTGGCCTTTGCCGACAGACGAGGCTTCAGAGGGTGGATGATGGCCGTGTACCTGCAGGGTAGTGGTCAGTAGGTTAAAAACAAACTTGTGTTTGAAGCCTCAGCAGCATATTTATTTGTTGACTGATTAGATGATTTATGTTTTTAATTTCATTATAGAGTAGAGGCCCTGTAATTTATGAGAATACAGCACGACTTCACCCCCTACAATGAAAAGACCCTCAAGGTTTTCTGCTTTTGTTCATATATACTTCAACATTTTTTTAGCTCAACTTTTTGTTCAGTTTTTTGACATTAACATAGTTGTTTGCAAGACAGCCTGTAAAGCCTGTGGTGTTTTCTTATAAACTGATGGATGATTCATTTCAAAGAACTGTGAAGAAACTGTGTTTGAACGACACATTTAAAACTGGCAGGAGATTACTAGGTGAACATCACCATAGCTCAGGATGCTGCATGATTTTTGGTAGCTGATAATGCAAGCTTAGAGCCACTAATTCAATCTTCATATGATGGTAAAGATTGAGCCTTGCACTGTCAACTCACTGACTGGAATTCACTGAGGGACAACAACAAAGATGCCCTGTCTGTTCACCAGTAATTGCTTGGTATTTATTCTGAGTGTCTCACTGGCCCTTATGGAGAGCAGTGTAAGAGCAGCTTGTTACATGTCCAATCAAGTATGCAGCAGAGTTGTGTGAGCTGTTTGAGATCCAACACACACTGGTGGCCGATCTACTGTAACAGACTTGTAACCACTGAACAATAACCACAATGCAATCCCAGTAACACTTGAGTAAACTAAACAGGATTATACACAGACAATCATTTTAATCCCTTGTGGGGGCTTTATTCTGACTTGCATTCATTTCCTGGAGGTTTAAACGGACCCTAACCACAACCGTTACTTGCCTAGAGTAGTTCCTAAAATTAAACCAAGTCATCACTCTAATATTCAGTGATTTATATGGTGGAGACCAGCATCAGGTCCCTATAGGAGCATTTCCACCAAAAGGCTCTTGGTGTTTGTTTGAAAAAAATTAAAGGCCAAGAACATTCCCTGGGATAAAAATGCCTCAAGCACACTCTAATTTGGATTTCCATACCAAGGACGACGCCCAGGAGAGAGAGTAAACAAATTGTAAATTAACATAAAAGTGTGATGGTTGGCAGTGGGGTTGTGTCAGAATCCTGGCTACATGATGCCTTTCATTGCTAAGTATGGTAGCAATTTGCAGGAATGAGACTTTTATGCTGTGTAGTCATGTTCATCATCATCATCATCAACAACTTTATTTATATAGCACATTTAACACAGCCAGAGCTGACCAAAGTGCTTAACACAATATCCACAAAACCCATTAAAACAAAATAAAACAAGCAACAATTAAACAACATCACACTTAAAACAACCACCCATCATAAAACAAAGGCTCAACAAGACAGAGGCTCATACTGATTCGAATTCTGTAAGATAAAGGGGGGCCAGACCATTTAAAGACTTAAAAACAAATAAAAGAATCTTAAAATGAATTCTAAAACACACTGGCAGCCAATGTAGAGAAGCCAAAATGGGTGTGATATGGTCCCTTTTGCGCCCTCCAACCAGTAGACGAGCAGCAGCATTTTGGACTCTCTGAAAGCGGGCAAGGGACGTCTGACTGAGCCCAAAATATAATGCATTACAATAATCCAGACGAAATGTAATGAATGCATGTATTTCTGACTCAAAATGCTGCCGCGAAAGAAAAGGCTTAACCTTTATGAACTGTACTTGTAATTAAAATAGACTTTAAGCTACGCAGTCACTTACTTTAAAGTGCTTGAGAGTTGTGTTCTTGAAAAGGTTTTTGTTGATGGACACAGCACCCGGGCTCTGCAGCTGTTTCCTTTCATGATGACATTCCTGGTTTGCAGCTATCAACTGCTAACACTTTTTGGCACGTTTTATATTCAGGAAATCCGATGATAACATTGTTCTCACAGTCTGTAACCACAATGATTTTCTCCCATATGTCCAGTGTAGCCTTCTAAAATACGATATATTGTCCACCACTGGCCATTTACTGCAGGTTGTCCACTTTGATTCACTGACGCCTAGCCTACATTGATATGTGAGAGATGTCTTCTTTAATGTCCCATTAGTCAGGCATGAGTTGAGGGGTCTAAGGTTGTGCCATAGGCCTTCAAAAAAATGTATTGGTTATTTAGTATTAATAAAATTATGCTGGATTAGATGTTTAAAAGAAGCAGCACCTTTATTCATTCTTAAAATGTTAACTGTTTATTTGTCCCACTACCCACCCACATTTAGTCTATTTTTACCTGTGCCATACCCGTAAGTTAATATAAACACATTTTTTACCGGTTGCACATAATTTTTGCAGGTGCAGGACTCTGGTGTAAAATGCCGTGTGGTATTTGACCAATAAGTAACATTCAGCAGGCTTTACTGGACAGCTCCTGGTCCTTCAGAAAGTACTACCCCCTGACTAGAGTGTTTCTCTTAGGGGTTGAACTATGCACCCTAATTAAATTTAGGCCCTGATTCCTCTGGCGGAAAGAGAGGAGCTAAGTTCTGCAAACTGTTCCTGTTGCCCTGGGAATTGTTCCTTTGGTGAAAAAGGGGCTTATTAGGTAGGACAGGTACTCACAGTATGAGTGTGTAAACAGGTTTTGGTGCCCACAGTGCGAGTAATACCAGGTGCACGCACGCACACACACACACACATTAACCACAACCATAAAGAAATTCACAGAGGCATCAGCACCAACTGGACATTATCACTGCAGCAGCATAATACTGCACATCATTTTTTTTTTTTTTTTACCTGAAGTCTGTCTTAAGCTCCACAACAAAGCTTTCAGACAAAGAACTGTTTTGAAACCATGTCACAGCGATATGACATTACCTACTAAACACTCACTTTATCACCGCCTGGTGTTTAGAGATTACCTTGGACCAGACGTCCAGTGCAAGCAGCCAAACATTATCCGCCAAATGTCGGCTCAAATGTCCTCAGATGAAAGTAATAATGTTTAATATTCCACCACCCTCACTTTACAATATCACAAAAACACTTAGTGGGTAACTCACTCAAATGGGACATGAATGGTATCTAGCCATGCAGATTGTTTTTGTTTTATTTGTTCAGGTTTTGGAAAATCCACCCCTGAGATTCCTACTGTCACCACAAAGCAATGTAAGTGATTGGACTTTTGTTTGTGGTTTTGGCAGCATTGAAACATTATTCTTAAAAAAAATCAGCAACAACATCTCTTTCCAAGAATGATGCCACATTACACTGGATAATCCAGTTTTCACAGAGACTCCTGAAAGGACAACGGAAATGATTCACACCTAATTCTGTGGATTAACCAGAGTAATTAAGACTGAATTTTCTAAAAACAAACATTGTGACTTTTAAGACACAGTTTTTAAAAAAATTTCAGTGTTATTCCACAACCAAAATTCCACTGCTGTTAAGACGAAGGAGGTAGAAATCTCAGAAATAGATGTCTCAAAATCTGGATGAATAAAATGGAAGCTGTCTGCATTAGTTTAGATGAACTGACCCTTGAAAACAGCAGTTATTCTCAGTGACATGCTTCTTTTCTCCTTATCCAGCTCTCACTGCGCATGAGGGAGCATTTCTAACCATTATTACGGATTATTTAATAAACGTGTCAGAGGTATTTCAATAAGACAATAGTAAAACTTCTTGGGACAAAAATGTTTAAAACAAGTGAGGCCATATCTAAAAAAAAGTCAGTGTACAGTATGTGCCCACCCACACAGACACAGGGAGAACATACAACTCCAAACAAGGGCCCCGGTCAACCCAAGGTTTAAAGCCGGAACCTTCTTGCTGCGAGGCGGCAGCTGTCCACAAGGTTTAGGAGTGTGTTAATTTTGACCATTCTTCCAGAAGCGCATTTGTGAGGTCAGACCAATGTCTGACCTCAAAAATGTGCTTCTGGAAGAATCAACATCAATATGTTGGACGAGAAGGCCTGGATCACAGTCTCTGCTCTAATTCATCCCAATGGTGTTCTATCGGGTTGAGGTCAGGACTCTGTGCAGGCCAGTCAGGTTCTTCCACACCAAACTCACTCATCCATGTCTTTATGGACCCTGCTTTGTGCACTGGTGCACAGTCATGTTGGGACAGGAACGGGCATAACCAAACTGTTCCCACAAAGTTTGGAGCATGAAATTGTCCAAAATGTCTTGGTATGCTGAGGCGTTAAGAGTTCCTTTCACTGGAACTAAGGGGCCAAGC